GAGAGAGAGAGAGAGAGAGAGAGAGAGAGAGAGAGAGAGAGAGAGAGAGAGAGAGAGACGCACGCACACACACACACACAGACGCACGCACAGAGAGAGAGAGAGAGACAGAGAGAGAGAGAGAGAGAGAGAGAGAGAGAGGATACGCTTTCTGTCCGGCTCCCTGAAACGCGGGGTCCACATCTTTCGACATTGCCGTCGTCGTCGTCGTCGTCTTCTTCGTCTTCTTCTCCTACTACTGCTGCTGCTGCTGCTGCTGCTCCTACTCCTGTTGTTGTCCTTTTCCGGTCTTTAGTCCAGAAATCGAGGAAGGCCGCCTTCGAGTCAAACGTACCGATTGACTGCGACAGCAATTATTACATATAGACACACAAGAGCAGCGAAGAGAGGAAATCGCCACGGTGACCACCAAAGTACAAAAGTGTGAAACAGGCAACCAACCCACCAACACATGAAGCCCTTCGGTGTTTTTTTTTTTTCTTTTTTTTCATGAATCCCTTTGGTAAACACAACAAAACCAAGCCAATCATGGTACCCTACTGCCCTTCAGATCCGCAGGCAGGTTAGTGTGACGACGCCAAAAGAGGAATCATCCTCACTTACATCACGTCATCAACCCCACAACCAACAAACCGTGCAGCGAACAACCGCACCATCATATACCGTTAAAAAAAAAAACAAAAAAAAACTACGAGTTAATTGAACTCAGTATAATTCGTTCAAATGGTCATATATATTTTTTGATAAATACTATAACACAAAACAATCAAATAATTCAGAAAATGGCAAAAGAAACATGTCAAAGTTATATAAATCATAAATGGATTGGAGTTTTTTTAACCAATTGAAAGCACATTTTTCATGTACAAGCGCATTTTCAGCCTTCCTTCCTTGCAACAAAACGCTAGTACCCAATTATTACTTATTAATCAAAATATCACACTGACCGTCCATGATATATGAGCCAACAACTGCACGGCATGCAGCGAAATGTGTCAATTAAATTATAACAAAAAAAAACATATCACACACACATGCTATCCCCGGAGCCAGACATGAGCGGAGAGTGTACTACAGTGCTTGCTTGCTACATGAGGCAGAAATTCCGTCCAAATGTACGTAATTCACACCTGCTACCAGTAACCTAGGGCGTACTCTTACTAGACAGTATCTCAAATGTATCTGACCGGATTCACGGTCATACCTGGATGTATCTGGTTCCGTCCAAAAATACGTAAAATTACCTCAAATGTATCTGACCGCATTCACGGCCATACCTGGATGAATCTGGCCGCAATTCCGTCCAAGAATAAATAAAACGTATCTCAAATGTATCTGACCGCATTGGCGATCATACCTGGATGTATCTGGCCGCAATTCCGTCCAAAAATACGTGAAAAATATCTCAAATGTATCTGACCGCATTCACGGCCATACCTGGATGAATCTGGCCGCAATTCCGTCCAAAAAAATACGTAAAAAACTCGGTATGCGCTCCCCAATGCATTTATTCATTATTATAGCATTATATTACTAATAGTTCATACAACAGACGAAAGCTATGCACATAGCGCATTCACGGCCATACCTGGATAAATCTGGCCGTAAAAGGGTGCTGTGCGAACTTCTGGGCAAAAAACAGCAACGAAAGCTATGAACATAGCCGCCGATACCGTCTGAATTCACTCTCGGATACTTGAATGCCGAATGCACCGCCTGAATTCACTTTCGCATACTCGAATGCCGACGACACGTGGATGATGAATGCACGACAGACAATAATTTTTCATGTTATTTTCGTCCCTACTCTACTAATCTACCAGTTACTGCTCACTGGCGGACTGAACAGAAAAGCGCACCCACAAAACTTCACATGCAGTCGACACGACTTCCTATATAGAGATAGGTAGGTCTTGTGCATTATATTCATGTACGTACTACCGTCTTGACCCGAACATAACGCACCCTGAAAAGGAAAGTATACAAGGTATGTTTCCGACCACAAACAGTCAGAACGAGGGTGCGTTGTGTTCGGGGGAAGGCGGTACCAATGTTCACAGCTCAACAGAAACTCGCAGCGTCGCGCACATGCAATCACCGTAAATACCATCTCCACAGAACAGACTGCATTGCAATCAATCTGTCTATGTCATATACAACAACAACAACAACATAAGCCACAACTCGATAACGCACAGACATACGCAACGTGATTCGCATATAACAAACACATACATACGAATAGCATACGTACATTAAAAAAAAAAAAAAAAAAAAAAACCAGCTGAATTCCCAATCTTCAGCATTGCGCATTACAATACAACAAATTAATATACACCTTTCCACTCGTATACACTCATAAAATCTCTCCTTTCCTATCCTAATCTTCGTCCTCCTTCCTCCTCGCGCCCCTCTTCCTCTTTCGATTAATTAATATTCTCCCTCTTTACGACCGCTAAAACGCCAACAACAGCAACAACAATAAGAACAACAACAACGAGAACAACGAGAACAACGAGAACAATGAGAACAATGAGAACAAAACACACATGTCGGAAAAAACTGAGAGGTGGGGCAAGAGAGAGGAAGGGGGGCTTGGGAAGGAGAAGGAGAGGAGACAGCACCGATGCAGGGGACGAATACCCTTCTCATAATCTACAGTATTACTTTTTAAGTAAACGACAGCCCCATCCCCTTCCCCCCCCCTCCGGAGAGGGAGGGGGGCTTGGGAAGGAGAGAGAATGCCCCTCGAGAAAACGTGCCAGCAGCCGCGCACCCCCACACACGAGTAAGCGACAAGCAAGCGCTTAATGGCCCGCCCTTCAAGCCCTTCCACTAATTACTCAACTTTAACTGATTCCCACATCCTTAATTCTTAAGGATTCCATACAATGTGATACAAATCCATTTTCCCATCACGAATCTCATTCTCTTTTTTTTTTTCTTCTCACGTTATCAACAAAATTAATTCGCCTCGCCTCGACAAATGTCTAGCATCTCCCCTTCGACCAACATAGCAATCATTGGCGGGGTATGTCTCAATTTGACCTCCCACCCTTTGCTTCTCACATCACCCTCGGCAAATTCCTAGTTGCTTCTGTCCTTCTCTCATCAAGCTCCCCCTCCACCCACCACCTCCCCCTCCCTCCCCCCTGGGTTCCCACGCACAGCAAAGTACGATTCCGCCCTTATGCTTTCATTCTTTCTCTCGCTCCCTCAATTGTTTCTCTCTCCTACCTCGCATATCCTCAACGAGTTTCCCCTCCCTTCCTCCCTCTGCGGGCATCTCATTTCAATCACATTCCCACTTGTGGTTGGGAGCTATACCACGTCGGGTCGCCCCTCGCCGATGCGTACTCCCTCTCAGGCTCTCACCATAGCTCCCCCTTAATACACTACAGTACTTGATTACTATAATTCCAATCACCATGTCCCTCGAGCAATTCCCTCCCCTCTCACGTCACCTTCACTAATGCCCTCCCTCCGCTACAGCTTCCTGCACACAGACAGCAGCTCATCTCCCAAGGACCAACTGCTCTTGCGCCTCCTCTTCAGAGTCTTCACCGACCACATCAGCTACTTCTCCACAATGCACACTTCACAAGTTCACATCAACTATTCGTCAATTCTCTGTTCAGGTCCCCATTGGTGATTTTGTTCCCCACTCTCCTTCCCTCCGAAGAAGAGCTGACTCTCTCTCTTCTGCTCACCTCCCTCCCGGCGATTCCCTCCTTCCTCTCTCTTACCCGGTGGCGGGCGACTCCTCTTCCGCACACCCCTCCGGCCATGAGAGAGATTCCCTGCCTCCACTTCTCATCCCCCTCAAGCTACTGCTCCGTCAACCTACTGCTCCCTCAAGCTACTGCTCCCTGTAGACCGTACCTACAGCCTTCCCCCGAATACAACGTATGGTCATTATAGCTGAATTTAGACTGAAAGATACCCCAAATTCAGCTATAATGACCGTACGTTGTATTCGGGGTAAGACTGTAGCGATTTCCTCTTCCTTTGCCGCGACGGTGTTCCGCTCGGCCGGAAGGGATACACAGGAGGACGAAATAGCTAACAGCTCCCTCGGCTCTACCAGGTGGATTTCCTTTCTCGCTCACAGCTACCTCGGCCGGTGATTTCTCCTCCTCCTTCTCCGGTCACCTCTTCTGCCCTCCATTCGGTGAGCTCTTCCGCTCACTCCTTTCCACGACGATTCACTCCGCCGCTCAGCTTCCGCCACCGAGGATTCCCTCTCGCCTCAACCACTCTACTCCGCCCACTCCTCCCATCGATTTCTTCCTTCTTTCCACTTACTCGCTAGCTAGCGAGCTCCAACCGTGTCTACATATATTTCCTATTCCGCTCACGTGCGCGCTATTTGCTCCTTCCTCATGCTCCTTCCCCCGCGCGCAACGCCCCCTCATTTTTGACTGTATCGGGCCCGAAAGATAGTTTGTTCACGTTCATTATCAAGCTGCTTTATCTTCCGGGCAAGACTGAACCCCCCCGCTCGATTTCTCCTCCTCACGCCATATTGCTCCTCCCGACGATTTCCAATTAAACTCGCCCCCC